GGCCCCCTCGGCAAGCCTGTGGCCTGCCTGCCTGGGGCCGGGGGCGGTGGGTCGGGCCTCACGACCACCGGCCCCCGGGCAGTGACAAGATGTGGGGTGGCGGCCTCGGCCCCCCGCCGTGTTCGTCCTTGACCTCACGGGGCCTGGACCTGGCCGGCCACGCTCCCGGGAGGCCCCCTCGGCAAGCCTGTGGCCTGCCTGCCTGCTGGCGTTCGGCCACAGTTAACAGCGAGGGGGCCCCCCCGAGGAAGAGCCCCCTCACCCCCTCGGTGGCCCTGGAGTGCAGAAGAGCTGGGGCTCGCCGAGTCACTACCCCGAGGCTGGAGAGGGCTAGTAACTGAGGCCGTGGTGGTGAATGCCTGAAACATCTGGGTAGAGGCCAGGGGCACCGGGCGGCAGTGGTCTGAAGACCTTGGCTTACCTGTCTCCGGGATTCATTTCACAATCACCTTTCACTGCTGCCTCTCTGCTCGCCTCGCCGAGTCTTTGATTAAAAAAAGCCCGATGCTCAATGCTGAGACAGATGACAGTCAACTTTGAAGCAGTGTGCCGCGTGTTTAAGAGATGTGGTGGGGTGAAGGCAATGCCCAGTTGATACTTTAGAGAGAGAGGAGTTAAAAGTTCTTGTGAATTCTCCATCCCTGGTCTTTGAGATTCTTGAGGCTCTTATGAGATCATCAGTACCCCTCTGAAATCCCATAGGCTTTTTTCTGGCAATGTAAGGGGTAGGACCAAGAAATAGTTTCTTAGAAATAAGGGGCCCAATTGCATTCTGTGCTTTTTCCTTTCTGAACTTTACACATTCGTGCCATTTATAGTTCTTATATCCATTTTCTTATTATAGTTGAATTTTACATCCTCTTGTGCCATTTTCCATCTCAGCTGCATCCCCACGGGCTTCCTATAAGTCGTTCACCCCTGTGCCATCACCATAGTCCAGTGCACTTCCCCTCAGCCCCCCATTTTGATCCCATTCCCCACTCCACCCCTGTAAATGTCTCTGGTACATAGTTGTTCATTATTATTACTCCTCACCCCCACCCCCAACCCCTTTATGCTCCTGCTATGAGTGAAACCATTGTATTTTTCTTTTTCTTTCTGGCATCTTATATCCATTTTTACAGGGGTGTCTACACTGGAATTTGAGCTTGGGGTGTCAACTCTGGAATGCAAGCTCGGGGAGGACAGGCCGATGCCTGCTTTGCTTACTACTTCTCTTGCTAACACACTGCCAGGAATATAGTTGGTAGTCAACTCAGGAGTATCTTTCTCCATACTTAGGAGGAATGAGAAACTCCAAAGAAGTTGCCAGAGAACTAAAGGCGCAGTCATTTCTGGAGCTCTTCCAATGTCCATAATGACAGTCTTAGTGACACATACTTGTCTAGAGGTTTTTAGACCAGTAGTCAGAGTTTTAAGGATCTGAGGGGGTGAAACCACCCTCTTGACCCTACATACCCATTAAAGTAGCCCCTCTTGTAATAGTTTTGTGTGTTTGATTTCTACAGTAGATTTTTTTTGAAGGATTCTATTGTCATAAACTATTAACCATCAACAAAAACCTACTAGATTTGAAAACTATTAACAACACATACAAACCCAAAGAATCCCTGCTATCCCTGGAGGCTGGGAAGTTCCTGGCTGCGGCTTCCCCCAACACTGTTTCAGGGAGCAGAGAATTAATGAGTAGGTCTCTGATATTACAGTGAGCACCCCAGTCCGTGGGTTGAAAGCAAGGCTTTCTAGTCAACATTGATGACACTTGAACTGGGGTACTTTGTTGTGGGGTTACCCCATGCACTGTGGGGAGATCAGAAGCATCCTTACCCTGTGACCACTAGATGCCAGTAGCACCCTCACAGTTGTGACAATCATACATCTCCAAAAAATGCCATATGTCCTCTGATGGCAGCATCACCTCTGGGATAGAGGGACATAAATCCACAATAGCTATAAATAAGATAGTGTCTTTAAACATGTGAGCCATTTGGAAGTTTTTCTTGTCTTAAAAAAAATGGATTGATAAAATGAATCTCAGTAGTTGAGAGTCAGGATTCTGCATAAGTGATTTAGTATGTGAGAGTTGTTTGCTTGCATCAAGATTCTTGCTTAGAGTTTTGGGGCTCTAATTTTAGAGATTTTCCCACCTGCTTTCTTGCCTGTTGGCTGTCATTTGTGGCTGCTGTAGCAGAGAGGTGACAGCTGTCTCTTGCTGTCAGTTGTTGGCACTTTGTGATTTGCAGCCTCTGATGTGGGAAGCTGATAATGAAGTTTGTGTGGATTTATGAGTAGAATAAATAGCTTGGAAAGAGGGCCGAGGGCTTTTGCTAAGAAGTAAATTGTATAGATTTTGAGGCACATTTTTTTTTTTTTTGTCTACTTTAGGCCTTTTGGAATGCAGTAGGAGATTTATAGAATTAGAAGTTCTTGGAGGTTATCCAGTTCACACTCCCCTGGTTCCCACTGTACAGCCAAGAGTGAGCACACCTGATGAGGGCCATTGCCCAGCGTCACCTAGCTTTGTTAATTTCCCTGTCACTTGCTGTTGTGATTTATGGTCCAGTTCTGACTCCAAGGTAATATGGCTCTCATAACCCAAAAGGTGGTGGGAAAATCTCTAAAATTAGAGCCCCAAAATGCTAAGCAAGAATCTTGATGCAAGCAAACAACCCTTCCAGCTAAAAGGGGTGTGGTCATATGTGCTCATGTCTGTCCTGGACTACCGGGACAGTCCTTCTTTCAGTCATGCGTGACTGTTTATCAGATCCCTGTCACATGTATTAGTTAATAAATAAAGCACTTAAAATGATGCCTGGCACATAGTAAGCACCTCTGGTGATGACGTTCTAGGCACCTGGATGGGTAAGCTCAGGCACAGTCAGGGGAGATGGATGCAATTCTTGCTTGTCTGAATTAATGCTCCTTCTGATGTGGGGAAGGTGCGGGTTGTGTGATGCTGGAATCTTTTTAACATGGTGTTTTGCCTGTCCTCTTAGATGCTTTCTTCACATGTCGGAAAAATGCCCTCCTGGCGAAGAGCCCATCCTCCCAGGTAGAGGGAGACTTTGCCATGGCCCCTCGGGGCTCCGACCAGGAGGAATGTGAGGGTCTACTGCAGCAGGGGCGAGAAGAAGGGCCAATTGAGGGGCTCTCAGCTGTGAACGAGAGTCCCTTTGTGGATAAGGGACTAGCCCAGAGCAGTCTGGCGCTCCTGATGGAAAATCCTGGAGAACAGGAAGCTGCTTCAGAGGACAAGTGGTCCAGCAGGCCGCTGAGTGACCTGCAGGCATCAGAGAACCTGGAGGATCCTTTCCCAGAGGCGCAAGGAGAGGAGCCACTGCCAGAGGTCGAGGAACCTGTGTGGGCCCCAGTCCCTGTGCAGACGGCCCCCCACTATGCTGACTGTGCTGTCCTCCCAGTGGGCGCTGTGGCTGCAGAGCAGTGGGTGGAGGACTCCGCTGTGGTGGCGTGGAGCCTAGCATCTGAGCCTGTGCCCCAGGAAGAGGCTCCCATCTGGCCTTTTGAGGGCTTGGGGCAGTTGCAGCCTCCCCCACTAGAGATCCCATATCACGGTGAGTGGACAAGGGCTGCATGAGTCTCGGCGGCAGGTTCTCTTGGGTGTGGGTGAGCCTTTGACCTGACCAGTCAGTCTCCAGTGGGAGCTCTGCCTCTGCAACCTGTTTCCCTGAGACTTTTGCAGCGTCAGATCTAGGGGAGCCTCAGCGATCACCTCACCCAGCCTGTGCTCTCACTGATGAACTTATCACGGTGCAGAAGGGCAGTAAGGCCTACCAAAAGCCACATAGCTGGGTGGTGCAGAACTTAGCTCTGTTCTGTACACTGTTGCGTCCCAAGGTTTCCTGGGAAATGCGGGTGAGAGTGCCCAGGTCCTCCACTTCTAAATGTGTTACCTTCTGGACTCCCGTGGGAAGAGTGAGTTTTGTAGTGCATATAGGCTTGAAGTCCATATAGTTGCCTGGTCCAGGGGAAACAGGGACAAATGGTTGCTAGCCCCCAGGCTCTTCCAGGTTTAGGAGTCAGAAAACTCCCATGGCTGAGATTACGCTAGAGATGTCTTTAACCTCCGGTGACTATTCATAACACCGACCTCAGTGGTTTCCCAGAGACCCCTGGGTTCGTCACAGGAAAGCCCTTGGCAACGAGTGGGTACTAGGCCCCAGGTACTGTGCTGGATACTGAGGCACCGGGCAAACAGGCTGAGGTTCTTTGGCTTTATGGAGCTCACTGGTCTGAGAGTGCCGGGCCAGGTGTCAGGAGGATGCAGAAAGGAGCTTCACGTGCAGTATTGCTGGGTCAGGAGAGCGGACCACACTCGGGTAACATGCTCTTCTTCCCAACCGCTACACAGAAATCTTGTGGCGAGAATGGGAAGATTTCTCCTCTCAGCCAGATGTCCAGGGCCTGGAGGCGGGGGATGGCCCTCAATTCCAGTTCACACTCATGTCCTACAACATCCTGGCCCAGGACCTGATGCAGCAGAGCTCGGAGCTCTATCTGCATTGCCACCCGGACATCCTCAATTGGAACTATCGCTTTGCGAACCTCATGCAGGAATTCCAGCACTGGGACCCCGATGTGAGTGAAGAGGGGGGGCAGTGCCATCTTGTATTCCCTTGGGACCTGGGCTGTTTCCCAATGCTCTCGCAAAAAGAATTCAGTGATTCTTGTGATTGGCTCCCTGCCTAGGGCTGGGTCTTGCCTGCTGGGGTAAGTGAATTTTGGCAAAGGCAGAGAAGATTCTTCCTTGGTGTGTACTTCCCTGTGCCTTAAGCCAGGGAGGGAGACTTGAGGGATTCTGGAGCAGCAAAGTCCTGCACCTACTTATGGTCTTCTCAGCTTGCGTCCCAGGCTTGTTTTTGCCTGGTGTTGGTGTGGGAAGTTTCACTGGGATCATGCCTGACCCCTACAGCAGCTCCCCACGCGGCCTCAGTGCCTGCTCTGGGCCCAGAGTCACACACCAGCACCCGTAAGCTGAAGTGATTGGTTGTCCGTTAATTTCCCAGATCCTGTGTCTCCAGGAAGTCCAGGAAGATCATTACTGGGAGCAGCTGGAGCCCTCTCTGCGCATGATGGGTAACGCAGCTGCTGGCCTCAACGCCAGCTTCCTTCTGCAGCCCTGTCTGCTCCCCTGAGGGCACTGCCTTTTCCTGTTGTCTCAGTAACTCCTCATTCTCACCCGTGAGCCAGCACCTTCTTGTGTGGGTGGGAGGGAGTTCTGTAGCGCTTAGGCCATTCTGACACACATTGCCTTTTAATCCTTGAAATAACCAGCCTGGAGGCTGAGTAGTAGTCGCCCCACTTACAGCTGAGAAAACAGGTTTCAAAACTGTGTGTGACTTGCTCGAGGTCTAGAAACTACACGGGGTGGGCTGTGGAGCTAGGGCTCCGACTTGTCGGACCCGTGCCTTTCCTCTCAAGCTGCATTGTTTCATACCCTTCTGTCCCTCCTTCCCCTTCTAGCACTCTGGTTACAAGCAGCAGAACCAAGGCGCTGGCCAGGGCAAGGCCCGCCCCGGGAGCAGCAGGAGAGTGCCGAGGCACTCACACCTGGGCTGCTGCCACTGGTTGGAGGGATTCAGGCCGCAAGGACTCTGACCCATCTCCTTGGTGGGGTGTTCCTTGCAGGCTTTACCTGTTTCTACAAGAGGAGGACCGGGTGTAAAACAGATGGCTGTGCTGTCTGCTACAAACCTACGAGATTCCGTTTGCTCTGTGCCAGCCCTGTGGAGTACTTCCGGCCTGGCCTGGAGCTCCTCAATCGGGACAACGTGGGCTTAGTGTTGCTGCTGCAGCCACTAGTCCCAGAAGGCCTGGGGCAAGTCTCGGTGGCCCCCCTGTGTGTGGCAAATACCCATGTCCTGTACAACCCACGCCGGGGCGATGTCAAGCTGGCTCAGATGGCCATCCTCTTGGCCGAAGTGGACAAGGTGGCCAGGCTGTCCGATGGCAGCCACTGCCCTATCATCTTGTGCGGGGACCTGAATTCCGTCCCTGACTCGCCTCTCTACAACTTCATCAGGGACGGAGAGCTGCAGTACCACGGGATGCCGGCGTGGAAGGTGAAGTGGGGGCGGGTCAGCGGGCATGGGCACTCAGCTGAGGGAGAGGCAGCCGCCGGCATGCAGTGCTGTGGCCGGGGCCTGACCCCTCCAGCTTTGCTTTGGCAGTCGAACAGTTTGTCGAAGCCTGGAAGTGGGGAACTCTTGCGTGCCTCCGGCTTACTGGAGTCCTCTGAGTCCTTATTCATTTTGAATTTGCAACAACACGCGCTTACATTTTGGCAAAAAAGCCAAACATCAAACTGAGCCCCCTTTAGGACCTGACTCCCTACCTTAGGGCCACGTTCTGACTGTTTCATCAGAACTGGGTGGTGCTCTTCTGGACCGTCTCCTGTACTCTGACGCGCTGTCTTTGTTCCTATGATTTTGTCATCATCACATACATTTAGTAAGCTCTCACTGTGTGCCAGAAGCTAGTTTAAGCACTTGATATGTATTTTCACAATTTCTAGCATTGCTTCCATTTTGAACACGAGGAAACGAAGGCAGAGAAGTGAGGTCTTCGCGGGGCCTGCGTCCCCGGGCTAGTGGCGGAGTCGGGATCGTGCCCCCAGAGCTAGGCAGCCACTGCTCTCACCAGCCGCTGGTCGCCTGGCCCTGTGTGTGCCTGTGCCCCTGGCGTGCTGCCGTACGCTTCACTTGTAGACACACGCGTGTGTCTGTGAATCTGTCTCATTCCTCTCACCTGCTGAATGTTGACAGCAGCGATTCCTCAGTTTTATCAGAGTTTATTTCGTCCTATGCTGGGATCCGGTTTGTGTTGGTTTCTCGATAGGTCACTTGTTCTTCCTGTTCCTTTGTGTTGCCCCTGCTGATGCCGCCTACTGCTTAACTTCTGTCAAGGTACTGTGGAGAAAGAACACAGAGTGAATTGTTGTTGGGACACTTTGGCCTTTTATTTGAAGAGCCAGTGGTGTTCTGGTTGCCACGTGTGTAGAGAAAAGCGTTATCCTGCCAGAAAGTTGCTGTGACTAATGAATTTAAGGAACAGGAGAAAGAATTTACTAAATGGCCACCGTGTGGCAGACACTGTTAACACAGTGATTAAGAATATTCATTTTAAAACCAGACAGTCCTTAGTTCAAATCCCTGCTTTCCCACCTCAGGCAAATTTCTTAACTTCCTGAAGCCCGTTGGCGTCATCCCCAAACTGGGAATACAATGGCATCTACTAAACAAGTTTTCCTTTGCTTGGTAGATATGTATCTCGTGTTTTCCAGTTGCTGTTTCACTGTAGCATTATTAGCCCATTCTATAGCCGAGGAAGCTGAACCCAGGAGGGGTCACTAACTTGGCGAAGTCCTGTAACTGGCAAGTGGCCATCTGCTCCGGGCTCCCGTGCGGCTGCAGGTGGCATGTTGGGAATTTATGTCCTGGAGGGCAGAGCGCTGTTCATCCCTGCTCTCCCCCAGCGCACAGCTCGTGTCGTCTGCCCTTGGCACTCAGACATTTGTCGTGACATGGAACAAAGGGGGTTCGGCTGCACACGGCAGAGGCGTGCCGGGGGCTGGTGCTCTCAGATGCTTTCCCGCTACGTTCTGCCCATTCCCAGGCTGCTCATTTGACGGAGGTGGTGACATAGGCACAACAAAGTGCTTTGGTGCTTTTGATTCTGTGGTTTCTCAGTTACAGGTTTAAGGTGCTAACCTTGATCTAGAAGATCCAAAGAAAAACTTCTCCCATTACAAATCAAAACCCTGGAAAGCTGATCTTCCTGTGGAGAAGCGTGTAGATTTTTCTGAAATTCAGGGGACCATATGGTCATACAATTCTGTTTTCATTGACTCACATACCTCACTCTCTCACTCCTTACCACGGTCTCATGGGTATTTCAGTGTTTCTAGTAAAAAAAAAAAAAGAAAAGGTTTTAATTAGCTTCTTGTTTTAACCTTCCCACGAGACTTGCGTGGCTTATATTATGTATGTAGCATATGACTGGGTGTGTGTGTGTCCACATGTCCTAGTACATGGGATATTTCCCTTTTCCATCTCGGTTTCCTCATTCCCCACCTGGTCCTTCCTTGTAGGTATCTGGACAGGAAGACTTCTCCCATCAGCTTTACCAGAGGAAGCTGCAGGCTCCACTATGGCCCAGCTCCCTGGGCATCACTGATTGCTGTCAGTATGTCACCTACTGTCACCCCAAGAGATCAGGTGAGTATGTAACACAGTCTTGGGTGACAGTCTTGGCTTCGTGCACATTTTAGGAGCAAGCTGGCACCTCAGTGACAAGGCAAAGTATAATCCTTTCAATTCTCTTAGCAAGTTTCCCCGTCCTCCTCACTGTCCTCTTCATGGCCACCTGATGAAGCGGTAACTTTCTCATAGCCACTGGAAAGTGCCTTATCTTCAGACTTGCTCTGGGTCCCCGCACTGGAAGCTTCTTGATATTTAGGAGGTCTCAAGCATGTTACTCCCTTTCCTTTCTTTCACCGTGTGGCTTTTCCCGGTTTTCAGAGAGGCGTAAGTATAGCCGAGACTACCTGCTGCGTTTCCGCTTCTGCAGCATCGCTTGTCAGCGACCGGTGGGGCTGGTTCTCATGGAGGGAGTCACAGACACGAAGCCAGGTAACGGGAACTAAGCCTGTCTTCTTGGCCTTCTTTCCTCTTCACCCCTGGTATTTGTCAGTTCTGCGGTTTCTTAGTCTTTTCTAGATAAAATCCTGAGAGGTCAGATTCTGCTAATAAGTGTGCTGAGGAGGACGGTCAGTGGAATTCAGTGACCATGGACATCACTGGATGTGCGGTGCAGTGAGGATGTGGACCAGGAATCAGGAGACCTGGTGAACAGCTCTGAGACTTTGTAGCTGTTTCACCTTTTTAGCTGTTAAGTTGCTTGTGACTGGCAAGAGTACAGCATGATACAGATGATGCGGCACGGAAAGTCAGAGGTGACAGTGGTCCTGACTGCAGTAAATAGTTACTCCTCAGGCTGATGGAGCAGTGTATACTTGGCGCTGCCTCCCTGCTGTCTCTAGACCACTCCAAAGCAGGGAAGAGAATGCGAAATGTCTTTGAGAAAGCCGGAGATCTGAAGCTGTCTGAAGCTGTGAACCACGGCATGGGTGAGATGGCTGCGCAGCGCAGTCAGCACTGTCCGGGTGCTGGAGGGTGCGCAGACTCACCCCGGGGGCGCTCGATCCGGGAAAGGACCAGCAGAGTGCACTTTTCCGAGGTTAGGAATATACCTTGGGGCACGAAACCAGAATCGCTGGTTTCATCGACTGGGCTAGACTTTCACATTGTGATGGGACATTCTCTGCATCTGTCTTAGCCCTACGAGACCATAGAGGAAGAACCAGTGGTGAAGGGTCAGTCAAGCAGATTTGTATTAAGTAGCCTGTCCGAGTGACAGAGGGAAGATGTGATACTTGTGAACTGCAGGTTTCTTCAGGCCAGGGAGGGGGAGGGGTAAAGATTAAAGGGACTCAAACACAGTCTTCTAGCATAAGGAAAATTCCTGCTACTTGGAATGCGTATCTCGCTCTCCCCTTATGTAAACCATATAAATAGGTGGTACCGAAATACCGCGACTAATTCAGAGTGGGCTGCCCAAAAGGAGCGAGTGTGAGATGGGCACTAGCGCAGTGCCAGCAGAAAAAGTGGAAGTTACAGGGGAAAGAAATGACATGTAAAGAAAGCTTCAAAGAGAACAGTTTGGTTTCCTATGCAACAAAGCATATGAAAATTATTTTCCTATGAATAAAAAAAATTGCTTTTATAAAAGAAGAGCACAAAAACAAAATAATTACCTTTGTAAAGTAAATTCAGGGACACGGCAAGACATTAAAAGGTGAAATGTAAGCTGCAGAGCTCAGAAAAGAAGTATACTGAAATGATGGCCAGCACGTAAAATGAAGACGAAATTGGATGCAGCACGAGAGAGAACAGATGCCACCGGAAACAGGACAGGAGACACAGGTCTGGGGAAGAAAGCAAGATGAAAGTGAAGGGACGGAGAGGATGAGAGGGAAGTGGCAGTCCTGGAAGATACGGAGATTCAACTTACCTGCACCCAGAGTTCACGGAAGAAAATTGATATCATGATCCAAAGGGCAAACTTAAGTGTGATTTGAGGAAGATGAAAAAACCAGGATCTTTAGATTGAGAGGGTGTACTGTGTCCCCTTAAGAAGCGACACAAAGTCACCACTGTCATCCTAGTGAAGTCGTGAGGTGCTAGAGAGCGCAGTGGGCTGTTGAAGCAAAAAGAACTGTCGCGAATCCCGGCCTCACGCGTGTAGCCTTCAATTCCAGGAGACAGTGTAGCCATCTTCAAGGAAGGAAGATATGGGCTCAAGAATTTTAAACTCGACCAAAAGCCTTTCTGGAAGAACTCATTAGAATAATAACTTAAGACAACCAACCAGTGACTGGGAAAAAGCTATAGTAAAAGGCCTGGTGGTAAGCAATGAATTTATTTTTTTTTTCTTGTACAAATTTAGTTTGAACCGGCACTTTTCACAGAACAATGAACATTTCAATGGCTCAGCTTTTTTTTTTTTTAATTGTGAAGCCATTTATTACAGCTGTGGTAATGACAGTAATAATAATAATGATGGCCACCAGGCGTTGACCAGCTGGCATGGGCTGGGAACTTGCACAGCAGTCAGGCTCAGGCAGGGATGCAGTGGCTCATTGTTTGAAGATCGCAAAATCATCAAGTTTAGTGGTGACAGGATCCCACGTAGGTAATTTCATGTCAAGAATAGGTTATTAAAAAAATCAGTGCTGTTCTTGAAGCATAAAAGAAGCAATTCAGTTTAACAACAAAATTAAACCAAATACTTTTAAAATACATACTGACAATCACCTTGTCAGCAGAAAATACCCAGTTCACTAACAATGCAAAATAATAGCAGTATTTTTAAAATTGAGATCATATGTGGATAAACACATCCATGCCCTTATGTTTGGTCCGTACCCCTCCCAGCACCAAACCAGCTCCTGGTGGACTTCTTTTAAAGACTTCAAAATCTAAAAAGCTTGGCCTTTCTTTTATTTATTTATTTATTTATTTATTTATTTATTTATTTATTTATTTATTTATTTA